GAATATCTGTTTTTTATTTTTTATTCTTTTGTATTTTTTTGTATATTGTTTGTATCTTTGAGGCAATAAGAAAATTGTAAGATTTTCTTGGTCTGTCATATCTCAGTGTGCTTGAAATCCAGTTAGGATGGAGGGAAAAACCGGTTGAGGTCAAAAGGGAGAGTGTAAAACTCTTCATTTCGACTATCTCCTTCGAATGTTCGGAACTTAACCCACCACGGCATACCTCTGTCCTTTACACTGTCTTTATAGTCGAGCGTGTTGTCCAAAAAAACGACACCATTAAAGCTACTGTTGGGGATGACATGAATATCGTGTTCAGAAAATCACTGCACTGCAAGAAAAACCAGAAGCAAAAATCATCTTAACTTTAGAGGACAATTGATGGAGACGAAACCGCGATTGCATTTCTAGATAATTATGATCATTTTCATATTTAGCTTTATTAACTATAATAGTGATTGTAACTCTATCACAAAAAGTTAATTTGAATTTATAATAGTGATTGTAACTCTTGTCACAAGTTCACACCTGTTTAACTTGTTGTATACTTCAAGTCAAATGACTCAAAAATATAATTTAAATTTAGAACAATCATAGTATAGATGTATGATTTACGAGGGTTTCCAGATACATTAAACTACGATTGTAAACCTAACTAATAAGTTGACATGTTAGTTGATAATTTATAAGTCAATTTTGAGTTTATAGCCGATAGCTTATGACATATGGCTAAAAAATTAGCTGATATGATATATGTATTTGGCACAATTAATTGATAAAGTAACTGAAACAAAAAATTCAATTGGCTTATTTCAAAAACTACTCAAGAAAGCTTATGAAATAAGCTCCAATTTTTTGAAAAAGAAACTTATTTACATACAGAAAACTTATAAGCTAACAAAATACAAAACTTATGAAATAAATTCGAACGTTTTAAAAAAGTTCGTCCTACTAATCCAACTTTACATAAATGACACTGAACTGCAGAATAGTATGGTGAGTAATGTGTATCCATAAAAGCCACATATTACAGATCAGTGTTGAAGCAAAGCCATTACTACTTAACAATTAACACCATAGAATTACACCACAATCCCAGAAATTCCAAAAGGCAAAATAACAGGAGAGTACCACCTGTGAACCTACAATACCTATATGAACACATTTTGTTAGCACGTTCACCAGCTAAAAACTCGGCTCGTTAAGTAAACGAGCCAATGAATGAGCTTGATCATAGGCTTGCTTATCATTATTAACAAGCTGAACTCAAACTTTAACGAGCCGAACTAAGGTAAAAATTCAGAAATTACATAAAACTGTTATTCATGAAACTTAACGACCCAAGCCGACATTAACAAAAATGAGTTTTAAATGAGCTCGAGTATGCGGTCGTAGAAATAATAACTACATAAAACCATTCACCACCATACTATTATCCACCAAAAAGAAAGACAATAATCCAAAAGAAATCAATGTTAGCAACGGTATCACCTTTTCGTATTTATGAAGAACCTCAATAAGCAGTCGTAAAAATAATACATATCACAAATTTGTAGGATAATAACCTCAGTATGTATGTACATATTCTGATTCATAATTGGGAAGCTAGAATAGTATTTTTGCAATGTGTGGGGAAAAAAGAGATGCACTGCACCTTAAACACACATTTTGTGTCAAATGAGGTAAACAATTATGAAATAAGATTGGTAAAAAAATCAAATAGGGACCTTGCTATTATCACTGTGCGTGTGAAAATGACAGCGGCTTTTGACCCAAGGATGGTACGATACCACCAATTAAATTTTAGCTGCAAACGAAGACTTCAGAAAAAAAATAATACTTACAAAAACAAAAAGTAAACGGAACACGGACCTCTGAAAAAATAACCAATCAATTTCCCGTAAGATACTTAAATATCAAACAATCATTGATGGTGCAAACTTTAAATACCGATTACCAGCAAGAAAAAAGCTATAATTATAAAAATGAACTTCATTCATAGCCATGTATGTATACAAAGTATGCCCTCATATGGGATACGAGCTAAAACTCTCATAAATAACGATTCTTTTCACCTTAAATGTTAATGACCATGTTGATACAGATGTTAAGGCTCGACAAAAGGACGACTCTATGATCTTCTCTCCAACCTCTTACCACTAGACCGCTTATCTTCTGCCTCCTTTCTCTTCTGTTGCCTGTAAAAGATTAGCAAAAGGGTAAAAGTATGAGTCATATGCTCGGGTAACACCCTAAAATCACGTCTCGTTCATACTTTTGAGAGAAGAAAAATGAATAGATCACATCTTTTAATCCAATTTGATCAATATA